GCATTAAAAACCCATTCCATGAAGCTCTCTATGCACTGTTGTGCTAATATGAAGGCCACATGAAGTTTGGAGGTCTTTAGCTATTGACTCTGCAGACAGTTGGCGACTTCTGCGTACTGTGCGCTTCAGTGTGCACTGACCCTGCTCTGTCATTTAAGTGGCCTACCACTTTGTGGTTGAGCCTGCTGTTGTTCTCATTTGCTTCCACTTTGCTATAATAACCACTAACAGTTGACTGTGGAATATTTAGTTGCAAGGAAATTTCATGATGGACTTATTGCACAGGTGGCAACCTATCACGGGACGCATGCTTTAATTCACTGAGCTCCTAAGAGTGCCCCATTCTTTCACAAATGTTTTGTAGAAGTATCTGCATGCCTAGCTTTTTAGTGGCTCGATTTTATATACAGTTTGCAAGAAAAAGTATGTGAACCCCTTGGGATTACGTGGAGTTTTGCATGAATTGGGGCATAAAATGTGCTCTGAACGTCATCTAAGTCACAACAATAGAAAAACACAGTCTGCTGAACATAATACTACACAAAACATTAGATGTTGCCCCATGGTTTAATTGCACATAACATGTAAACATTCACAGTGCAGGGAGGAAAAAGTAGTGTGAGACCCTAGCTTAATGACTTCTCCCAGAGCTATTAATTGGAGCCAGGAGTGTGAGCCAACCTTGACTCCAATCAGTGTGATGAATATATTGGATGTGTTGCTGACAGCTGTCCTGCCCTTAAAAAACACACACCTGTTTTGGGTTTACTAGTTTTCAAGAAGCACTGTCTGATGTGAACCATGCCTCGCAGAAAAGAGCTCTCAGAAGACCTACGATTAAGAATTGTTGACTTGCATGAAGCTGGAAAGGGTTACAAAAGTATCTCTTGAGCCTTGATTGTTCATGTGTCCACGGTAAGACAGACTGTCTACAAATGGAGAAAAGTTTAGCACTGTTGCTACTCTCCCTAGGCGTGGTCATCTGTAAAAATGACTGCAAGAGCACAGCGCAGAATGCTGCATGAGGTAAAGAAGAATCCCAGAGTGTCAGCTAAAAGACCTACAGAAATCTCTGGCACATGCTAACATTTTTGTTGACACATCTACAATAAGGAAAAACATTAAACAAGAATGGAGTACATGGGCGGGACACCACGGAGGAAGCCATTGCTGTCCAAAAAGAATATTGCAGCACGTTTGAAGTTTGCAAAAGAGCACCTGGATGTTCCACAGCACTACTGGCAAAATATACTGTGGACAAGATGAAACCAAGATTGAGTTGTTTTGGGAAAAAACACACAACACTAATGTGTGAGAGAAAAAAAAGGCACAAGCACACCAACATCAAAACCTCATCCCCACTGTGAAACATGGCGGAGTGAGCATCATGGTTTGGGGCTGCTGTGCTGCCTCAGGGCCTGGACGGATTGTTGTCATTGATGGGAAAATGAATTCCAGAGTTTTATCAAGACATTTGGCAGGAAAACGTACGACCATCTGTCCGCCAACTGAAGCTCCGCAGAGGATGGGTGATGCAACAGGACAATGACCCAAAGCATACAAGTAATTCAACAAAACAATGGCTGCAACAGCACAGAATACGCCTTCTGGAGTGGCCCAGTCAGAGTCCTGACCTCAACCCCATTGAAATGCTGTGGCATGACCTTAAGAGAGCGATTCACACCAGACATCCCAAGAATGTTGCTACACTGAAACAGTTTTGTGAAGAGGAGTGGTCCAAAATGACTCCAGATCATTGTGCAGGTCTGATCTGCAACTACAGGAAACGTTTGGTTGAGGTTATTGCTGCCAAAAGGAGGGTCAACCAGTTATTAAGTCCAAAGGTTCACATACTTTTCCTCCCTGCACTGTGAATGTTTACATGTTATGTGCAATTAAAACCATGGCAATATCTAATGTTTGTGTAGTATTATGTTCAGCAGACTGTGTTCTTCTATTGTTGTGACTTAGATGATGTTCAGAGCACATTTTATGCCCAATTCATGCAAAACTCCACGTAATCCAAGGGGTTCACATACTTGTTCTTGCAACTGTACCTGTGGTCATGGAGGTTATTGGAACATCTGAATTCAATGCTTTGGAAGGGTGTCCAAATATTTTTGGCAATATAGTGAGTATATATATATACTACATATTGTGCAATGCAATCCAAGTAAAGAATTTTACTGTAAATCAAAAATCCTATTTTTCAAGCAAATTAATTTTCAATAAAATCCCACACAGCTTTGTGAAAATCTTCTGCATGCTGCATTTTGGGTACTTTAACCTGCAAGTCATTTGAATGAAGACTTTCACAATTTCATTACAATGCACCTGTAAATGAATTTAAAATTGCATCGATGCACCAATGTGCATTAGGGCATCAATTAGAAGCCCATAGAGTCCACACATGACCCTCAAGATGCGTGCAGCTTTAATACTGGTCTAGCTGATTCAGAACTTTCTGAGACACTTACCTGGAATTAGTATGCAGATCACTAATTCAGAAATATTGATGATGGTGACAGACTGACATCAAGTGTACTTTAAAGGAGGCAGCCCTCATATGTATCTCAGTACAAAGTTTTCTTTAAAGTAAACCTTGGCCTTTTGGCCTTCTCGGCCTTTTGGCTAAGATCAAGTGTAGTATCTGTTTTTATCAGTATCAAGTGGGGGTGCTCCACGACCATTCTAGCTTTGCGGGGATGGCTGTTTGTATAGTACCGCTGCTGTTATGATGGGGGTCTGGACGGCTAGTACCGGGGGGACAGAAACCGGGAGCCCACGAGTTAAGCTGGGGCCTAGGAGTAATTCCCCCGAGGAGACCGGAAGGACCCAGTTCCTCCTGATTTGAACGGATCTACCTTGTCTGGCAAGGGGTCGGGAAGGCAGAGAGTCCGCAAATCAGTGCCCCCTGAGTAGTCGCCTCAGGGGTGCCACTAGTAACACCTGGGTGTAGGATCCACTGTGTGAAGATGGCACATGGTCACTTGTTTACAAACTTTTTCTGCACAGAGCCCTTAGGACCAGGCCTTCTGGCTAGGACCAGGGCAATTTTTGCTACAGGCCTCAGGGCCTGGTCTGTGCACAATTTGGCACGACCACTTTTTTATTTTTTATTTATTTAATTTATTGCACCTCCCACGTTTGTCACTTTTTCTTTACTTATGTGTGTGTTTTCACAGGATGGAGGGTGTGGGTCCTCGGGCCTGCCCTGAAGTCTAGGGGGAGGATGTGTGGCCTTTTGGTTCCTTCCTCCCCTGTCCCTAGGGGGTGTTCTCTCCGGGAGAGCCCCCTGACCAAGTACTGGGTGTCTGGCTTCGGCTGGACACAAGGAACGGTGGTCCACCAGGCCTTTTGGCCAGAAGGACCAAATGGGAACCTTGTCCCTGTCAGGAGCTTCGTGCCTCGGGGGATCAGGGTAGTGGTCCAGCCCCTTTAGGAGTAGGACAAAGCACACCCCTAAGTGCACTTTTTCATGTGGTGTTTTGCACTTGCACATTTTTTGTGAACACTTACGGGTTTTTTCGTTATAGTTGCACGTTTGCCGACTTTAAAAAAAAAAAAAAATTAGCCCATGGTGATAAGGTTTGAATAGAAGAAAGAGATTCCGTGGGCAGGTGTCTTTTTTACACATAGCGAGTTGTCGTTAGGAGCACCTTCTTAAATTGACAGGACTAATCTGTGTACCACATGAGCACATAGCCAGTCTGTGGGAGCCAGAATTATTGTTGGTTGGTAGAGAGTCGAATACTTATTTTACTCACTGAACTGCAACTCAATTTATTACATTTGTATCATGTGTTTTTTCTGGATTTTTGGTTGATATTCAGTCCCTATCATTTAAAATACACCAATGATGAAAATTATAGACCCTTCATTTCTTTGTAATTGGGCAAACTCACAAAATCTGCAGGGGATTAAATAATTATTTTCCCCACTGTATACAATAAATAAGTGTCAGGAAAAGTGACAGTTTCTTATCACTATACTTGTTCTGGCCCTGCCAGCAGAACCTATTGGAGCCCAAAGCATCAGCATGGCAGCCATTCTAAAGCAGGGTATACACGGACCAAAAATCAACCATTTCAGCACGATCCAGACAACGTCCAGTCTGTGTGTACCATTGACTGTTCTACAGAAGCCAAGGGGGGTCCCTCCTCCTATCAGAATACAGTAGCTCAATGGGAAAGATGCCGGTATCACACATCATTGTGTTGATGTGGGGATGTATCAGTTTTTTTCATTCAACTCACTGGTTGAACAAAAAAAAAAAACTGACCTTGTATACCCATCTTAAAGTATAAGTTTATTTTTGGAACATGTTACATGCCGCTCCCCCCCCCCCCTCCTTTCCTCTGACAGATAGTATGGGGAAACTTCTCCCCGTACTATCTGTTAGATTTGAAAACAGCGTGCCCACACAGCCGCTTTAGTCATTCACAGTGTTCTGTGAAGGAGTGCCTACAAGTCCCAACAGCCTTAGTGGCTGTGGGCTTGTACTTTTCAATGAACTACTACAACGCTGTGGAGCACCATGGTAGTTAATTGAAGCTTCTTTCAGTATATCTGCTTGCTTGTAGATCCCGTATGACAAGCAGATATTCTGACAGGTCTGCAGGAGACCTGCATGGCAATGCTTTACAGGCTCCTCTGACAAAAATAATAAATGCACATTTTTTTTACCTGCAAAAAAATGTACATTTATTATTTTTGTCCAAAAGGTGAACTTATCCTTTAAAGGAGAGGTTATCAGTGGCAGTCTATGTAGTTCTCTCTTAAATATGCATTTTTAATAAGCCTTCAAAGGTTTAGAAGGAGCATGGCAAGATATGTAACAGCTGCTCAACAAATGTAAATTTATAGAATAACTTTTACAGATTGTGGCATTTTAAAAGGAGAATGATTATAAAATAATTCTGAAATAATAATTTGCTTTAAAATAAAGTACACTTTAACTTTTATGTTTGCTTTTCAGCACAATTGTCCTTTATCATATAATGACTTGGGGTCTGGCAGTTCTGCTTTGCATAGAAGGAGTTGCTATGCTATATTACCCCTCAGTTTCTCAGTAAGTATTTCTATTTTGCATGTGTTATTCTGTAGTATTTATCCAGGATTTAACTGTGTGTTAATATGTCAATCTGCTGTGAGTAAATCAGTCTGTCCGAACCAGGTTTCACACCCACATTGGACCCATTCCCTGGAAATATGTTTTGTGGGTTTTGGCAGCCTTTATGAGTATACCTCCTTGTATTTAATGTATTGGTCATCAGCAGGCCACACAAAAATCATGTCCATTAATTCATAGCTTCAATATGATCTTCCTATTTACAGGAACTAATCAGCAGGGATGATGTCATTTGGCACAAACCAGAGGGAATTACAGTAGTCACTCCTGCATAGTGCAGGGAGAAGATTAGAGCCACAAGGCCAAGCCTGGGAAAGCATTGCTTTCCAGCAGAGCTGCACAAGGCTGAGGACCTTCATAAAATCACAATAACTTAAACTGTTAAGCAGTCCATTTAGGACTGTACATCTAGCATTTTGCTGCTGAGCATAGCAAGCTGTCAATAACATACCACCCTATGCTGTCTGATGTGGCAATTTGGTGGTTAGTCAAAACATAAGGGTTTAGCGCTGTACCTCAAATGTAGTATTAGTGAAATCTACAGTGCTCAATGTGATAAATACCGTCTGCCGTGGAGGAGTCACTCCATACTACACAACACCTTCCCCCTTCCTATTCCTGTGGTAATCTCAAATAAATGAATGTGAAATAATGCTTAAGTAAGGCTCCCTAGGTAGATCCTTCCATCCTACAAGCCACCTTTCTACTTAAGATGGACAAAGTGTATCACGCAGGGATTGCAAACCTCCCCTGATCCAACATGTGTGAAACAAAGGATGGATCTACAAGCCACCTTCCTCTAATGCAAAGAATGCAAAAAATGTGGTGCATAAACAATATCTCCCCTCTAAAGTGAATGTATCTAAGGGTTGGTACTATGATACACCTCCCCCGTGAGACACCATACTTAAATTCATCAAATGCATATAAACAATAAACAGTGCTATAAACTCTATACAATAAACATGGCAAATGTAAATCTACAATCCACCTCCCTCCTTTGCAAAAATAGGATGTGCATACAAAATACTTCACCTCTAAAGTGAACATACTCAGATGTGATACTATAGTGCACCTCCCCCTAGAAATACTATACCTAAATTCATCAATATAAATGAACAATATAGGTGACATTAATGCAGTAAGCACTATACAATAAACATAACAAATCAAGCAAATAAATGTGTCCATGCATAAATCAGATATTTTGAATCAGGAAAAATTATAGTCCATTAAACACGTTCCTTGTACTCCAATGTGTTATGGGTGATAATAAAAGAACTTGTGCTTCCACACGTGCTCCCCCTTTGACACCTCACTCACCGCAAGGTTGGACCCTTGTTCCCAGTGGGTCTAACATGCTTTTTTTAGCTCTCCAATCCACTGTGCAAGGACTGTGCATTCCCCTTCGATTTCAAACACACTGGTTTTCCATGTACTGGACCATGAAGGAAACGTCCCAGAGGATTGCTCTAATCTTCCATATACTGGACCATAAAAGAAAAGAGGGAAGCTTCTATAGAGTAAAACCTTTTAATATTAAAATAGGAAGTGCCAAAAACACACTTACAATAGCAAGAAGAAAAAAGCGCTTAAAATCTGAGCACCAATGCGTTCCACAGTCAAAACCCAGAAACCGGAAGATACACTTGGTCCATCTTAAAGCGGAATTCTACTCAAAAAATAAAAGCCAGCAGCTACAAATACTGTAGCTGCTGACTTTTAAAAAACAGCCACTTACCTGTCACTCAGTCCCGTGGTGTGTTCCCTGCAGCCCGTTTTACCGGCCGTCCAGTATTCCAGGAGGCCGGCATCTTCAGTGTGGACACCTGGCTGTGATGGCTTGCGGCTTCACAGTCGGGTACCCACTGCGCATGCGCGAGAAGCGCTGCACTTCCTGAATGGTCCTGTAGTCTTCTGGGACCTGTCACATGGGAGGGAGGGAGGACACCTTCTGCTTCCGATCATCTAGGTGATTGGATCAGAAGTGGGTGCGGGTAACTGTCAAATTCGGGTACCCGCTCCCCCCTGCCCCCAAAAGGTGCCAATCCTTAATGGGGAGTGGGGGAGCAGTCCTTAAAGTGGAACTTCCTCTTTTGGGTGGAGCTCCGCTTTAAGTAAGAAGGTGGCTTGTAGAATGGCGGGGTCTTTCTAGGGAGCCTTACTTCAGCATTATTCACATTAATTTATTTTAGACTACCATGGGAATATAAGAGAGGGAAGATGTCGTGTAGTACAGAGTGACTCCTTCCCGGCAGACGGTGTCACATTGAGCACTGTAGATTGCACTAATACTACATTTGAGGAACAGCGCTAAACTCTTATGTTTTCATTGATTCTACACCAGGGGCGGACTGACCATTTGGAAACTCGGACACTGCCCGAGGGCCCGGGGTCAGTAGGGGGCCCCATGAGATGCCCCTGGTACCTTTTTCATAGGCTTTTTTGAGTTTGGTCAAGGACACAGGGGCCCCATGATCCCCTATTGCCCAGGGGCCTCATGAATTGTCAGTCCGCCCTGGTCATAACTATTCCTTTCTATTTCTCCTCAGAGCTCCCTGCCTGACCGCAAAACTGCTGATCGCTAACTGTAGAGCTGTTGGTGTCTTTTTCCCTGTAAATTGCTGTTTTTTACTTTGCTAACTGCTAAAGTGGCGGGGAACCTCATGGTGTGCCTCCTTGCTTTACTTCTGTCTTCAATTTCATTGACTAAAAAAATCCTGGAGATTCAGGCCTACAGCATTTTTTGTAAACAGGAATGTCTGCTCCTACTTAGATCCCATGGTACACAAAGTGTTCCAAGCTGGTTTGCAGAGACAGAAAATGAATTCTTCCACAAGCGGATCTGCAACCTTTCCATCTAGTGAGCTTTCATCCAGTACATGCTTGTCTACCTAATGGTACACATGACAAGCAGGTCCAGGGAGCTGGAGATTCCTATATCTCTAGCAGTGGCAACTAGCCAAGGAGACATTTTGAGTTCTGTGTCTCTTGAACAGGCCACAAAATTTGCCAACAGGGAGAACTGCAATGCCAGTGATGCAAGTCCCCTACTCCTCTTCCTCGTGTTTAGACAGGTGCCTACTAATAATTCTTCCTCACTGTGTAATGTACTGTTTCTTTGCACTATGTACTGTGTTTATATCTGGTTTGTAATGTACATGGGAATTGTACTGGGTTATGGTCAGGGGCGGACTGACAACTCATGGGGTCCCCGGGCAATAGGGGATCATGGGGCCCCTGTGTCCTTGCCCAAACTCAAAAAAGCCTCTGAAAAAGGTACCAGGGGTATCTCATGGGGCCCCCTACTGACCTTGGGCCTTCGGACAGTGCCCGAGTTTCCAAATGGAGGAGCCAGCAACGCCGTGACGTCGCGCCGCCGGAGCATCGTGGAGCTCCGGCGGCCATCTTTAACACTGGACAGTTAGTCCACATTATCGCTTGTATATTTACTCTACACATCCTCGTTTTACCTTAATAAAGTTCAAACTTACTACACTATGGAGATGTCTCTGCTCTGACTCCCTTGGGGAGTATCAATCCACAGCCTGACCACTGGAGAAGGAGTTCCCTCTACCACTGCAGAGCAGTCCATAGGCTATCACCTGAAGGGTACACTGGACCACCTTGATAAACATCCAGGACCACTGAAGGGAGGATATTAGAGTCCAGACATCATCCTTGACCAGTAGATGACCACAGGAGAAACATATATTCACAAACGCTCATTAAATTGTGCGTTCTGGTAAGTGTGCATTCTTTCTGCACCTTATCTCACAGCACCTTACTACCAGAAAGATACGAGTATATGAAGGCACCTGATGTCACTTAAAATCATCATATGAACTGTTTATATTTATATTTTAGTGTTTCTTCCCAGCGCTGCACTTTTGATTTATATACCAAACTCAAAAAAGCCTATGGAAAAGGTACCAGGGGCATCTCATGGGGCCCCCTACTGACCCTGGGCCCTCGGGCAGTGCCCCAGTTTCCAAATGGTCAGTCCGCCCCTGGTTATGGTGCCTCCTGGTCAGGGAAGGGTTAAGTGTGCTGCAAGCTTACTCTTTGGTTTTCCTGATACCACCACTCCCCCCCCCCCTTCCCTGTGGAGGCATATAAAATACTGTATAATAATAAATAATACCAGGGGAGGCAGGCCTTATGCAGGCCATAGACGGGGAGAAAAGCGGCAGATTTTTCTTTTAAAAAACGAAAAATCGGTCGTTCAAGCGGCCGACGTTACCATCAATGGTAAAAAAAATCGGCCAATTTTCATCCTGTCTACAGACGGCAAAAAGTGTCCTGCAGAGAGCTCCGCTATTTCTTTGACAGTTCCTTGACATTTACAGAGGTTGAAACATTGTATCTATTTGTTTCCGAATAAAAACATCTGTATCCTAAATGGATACAAATAGATACATTGTTGCAACCTCTGGAAATGTCAAGGAACTGTCAAAGAACTGTCAAAGAAGGTAACGTCGGCCGCTTGAACGACCGATTTTTTGTTTTTTAAAAGAAAAATCTGCAGTTTTTCTCCCCGTCTATGGCCTGCATTATTCTTCTTTTTCTTCTTTTTGTCTGCCTCTTGCAGGTCACTGCTCATGCGCAGATTTTTTATCGGTAAAAAATTGGCTGATTTGCCCATTATTGCCGCGAAAATCGGCCGATCAGCAAAAAACCGATTTTTTTTTCCAACTTTACCGAAAAAAAAAAAACCGGCCAAAATACCGAAAAACGGCTGAACAAATAGCCCACTAACGATCCGAAAATCGGCCGATTTTATTTTCGGCCGAAAAATCGGCCGATTTTCGACCCATCTATGGCCTGCATAAGTCCGTGTATGGGAGGAGGGAGGAGGACTTGTGCTGCTATGTAGTCAGACTCTGTTTTCCTACAGTCCCCTCAGCATGACGCTGATTGGGGTTCCAGAAAATGGACAGTGTGTTTGTGAGTGATTGATTTTAACAAACCAAAAGTATGGGCTGGACCACAGGGCAGGGGCACTAGGGGAGACTGGAGATATTGTTATTCATTGTAAAGAATAAGTTATAAAGAATAAGGAAGTCATGTGATGCTCTACATGTGGAAAATAGTTTCAGTAAAGGAATTCCGTTGATGATGAGATTTGCCTGGTGAGTTAATTCAAAGTCATTAAGTGGAATATGCATGGTGTAATACAAACAAACATGTGCAGCGTTAAAAATATTAAAATACAATAAAAAGGTACAAGTGAATATATATCATGAATCTATTGAGGATAAGATCATATAAATGTTCATAAAATGACTTTAAGTGTTCATAAGAATCCTGCGTTCTCCTTAATTCGGTGCTTGTGCAGTCAGGTATAGAAGAAATGCGCACTCACCGGAACGCATAATAAAATGCGCGTTTGTATAATAAATCCTGATGTCATCAAAAGGTCATCTGAGATAAGTCAGGAATAGGGTTGAATCCCTCTCAAGGTGGATGGATCCTGGGACTTTAAATGATCATCAGGAAACACCAGAGTTCCCCTTAAGGGATGGATGGGTGCAGCTCACAGGGTGTACAGGAGGCTCCCTCTCTGGAGACTGGATACTGGGTGTCTGAAAATCAATGCTCCCAGGGGAGTTAAAGCAGAGATATACCTAGGAGGAGCCAATAACGCTGTGACGCCACGCCGCCGGAGCAATGTGCAGCTCCGGCGGCCATCTTAGAGTGTGGACAGTTAGTCCTGTTAGATGTCTTTGCACAGCTATTAATTACATTGCACTTTACCTGGATGCTTTTACCTGGATGATTTTACCTGGATGCTATTTACCTGGATGCTTTTAATACATTCAATTAAAATTATTTAAAATTACTACACTATGGGTATATCTCTGCTTTAGATTCATGATATATATTCACTTGTACCTTTTTATTGTATTTTAATATTTTTAGCGCTGCACATGTTTGTTTATATTGCTTGTTTGAGGTTTCACTTGGTTACCTTGGTGCATAGCGGCTGACCTTTTCATATGTGCGCTCGCATACACCTATTATTTATGTATATGCATGGTGTATTCCAAAGCATTATCTGGGAAGGGCAGTCACACAATATATTAGAATTTAGGAAGGAAAGGTCTACATGAGAGTGTGAAGCTGAATGAAGTCTTACTGAGGTGATACTGCTAAGAACTTTTTTTGGGTTGGAGACTTAGAAAACATGGCAGCCAGCTGACCAGAGATGAGTGACTTGACAGAGGTTATGGAGGTCCCTGATAGTGAAGGAATTATTGTGCTCCAGCTCAGAAATGCTAAAGGAACTAATGAAGGGGACGTTCACTCATGGTGTAAGATGTTAACCAGAGTGCTGCCTTAATGCCACCTCACACATTTTTATAAAGTTACTCTGTCAGCCTCTAGGGGTGTAAGAACATGTCTGTACCTGTGAACCTGCCCACACATGCAGGGATGACAAATCGCAGATCACTTGATTATGACAATGTTGTCATTTTGGTTTGCTATGTGGTGAAAGGTGAAGGTCATTTTTTGCATTCAATAATTTTTATATGATATTTAAATTAGCGTAATAAAGGTATATTGGTTTGGAAAGCGGAGGCTCGTAGTGTTCATGTATAGACTGTCTTGTATAGACTTTTTGGCTGGGGGGTCCCATCCAATTTTTTGCATATTGTAGTCTAAGGAGTGCCTCCAATAACGGGAAGAGCACACTTGTTACTGATCTATATGGTTCCAGTATTTAACATGCTCTGTTATTTTAGCAGCATTATCCCTCTCTAGGATGTGACTACAGAATATCTCCCCTGCTCCTCCTCTCCATAACATAGGGAGGAGGGATCTGTAGTCCACAGAGAAAGCTGGCAACAGTGCTAACTAGTAAGATTGCATCAGAAGCAGAGTGCACAGGAAAGTATTAGCTCAAAGATTTATGGCAGGTATTTTTTTTCACTTATCAAAAAATATAACAATACACTTTCAATGGTATATTTAACAGACCAAATGGGTAGGCTTAAAAGTGGAATATCAGCCCCAACTTTGGTTTTTGATGTTTATGTTGGAGTTGGTGTTGCATTTTTTATGCGTTTTGTGTTTTTTTAGGGTGATAGAAAAGCATGACAGTTATGTTCATGTAGTGCGACTTTGATCTCTGGCACTCAAGTAGCATGAAAGTCAAGTGTGCGCTTCCTCTTATTGGGGGCTGTACAGTATGCACTTAAAAAACTACAGTATGCACTTAAATAAAATTGGACGGCAACCCCCCCACCAAAAGAAGACAGTCTACACAAGAACCTTCGTTCTTAAAAGAGAAGTAGGGCTCCCCCCCCCCCATTTATACTTACCTAGGTGGATGTGGCATCTGTCCCCCACTGGTTCTAAGTGTGAGAACACTGACTGCTGACCACTGAGTTCTCACAGCCTCTCTGCGCAGAGAGCGGTGACTCTCAGTCACCGCTCTCTGCTCTTTCCCCCCCCACCCCCCAGCGCTCAATGGAGCGCTGGGCTGTGCAGGGGGAGGGAACTGCTGGGTCAGGCTCTCAGCGCTTTTCTGGGAGGCTGAGCCAGGTGCCGCTTCAGACTCTGGGGTGGATCCTGACTTTAAAGTCGATATCTTTCTCCAGCCTGGACCGGCTGAGTGACATCATACCCATGGGATAGCTGTTCTGTTCGGCTATTATAAAATGTGCTTTTTAGTGTAAATTGTTCACAGGAAAATGATTCTTCAAATGTTACAAATGTAATACAAATGTAATGATAAAGAATGTGGTCTGATTTTTTTTTTGCCAGCTGTGAGGAAGGTTTGGAGCATGCCATTCCTCATTATATCACTACCTACGCCCCTCTTCTGCTCGTAATCATAGTTAATCCCATCCTTTTCAAAAGGACTGTCTCAGCAGGTAAGAGCACAAAGTATGGTCATTATGGCCTGTCACAAACCATGCACTGTTCTGCACACTCTTTATCCGACCCTTTATCTTTTCTTCTCCAAAGTCTGTGGCATTACTAATCTTAAAATCTGGGCTTTAACACTGACTTTTGCTTTTAACTTGCTACCCTTTCATATCTCTTCTTCATGCTTCCATTAATCTCTCCTAAAAGTATGTTCATTACTATAGAGTTCTTTCTGATAAAAACTACAGTCTCTTCTCAGACTCCCTTGTTTCACTTTTTGAATTCTCTGAACTAACCTCTTCTGACTTTTCAGTCAAACAGCACACTATCACCTACTACTAACAAGCTTGTTGCTGCCAGGAAAGGATCGAGAACTTTCTGGCCCTTTTGCTATGAGGACTCATGCTGCACTGTCAGTAATAGGTGTCCACAATGAAAGGTGAGTGTGGTCTTAAAGTGTTACTGAACCCAGGACACTGCATTCACTATATCTGGCCCCCCACAGTACACACAACATGGAAATGCAATTATTGTAGTAAATATAAACTGTTAAATACATTTTCTCATCAGCAGTTAGAGCAGTCTTGTGACTTCAGCAGATCACTGGTTAAAGATTATAGGAGGAGTTCTCTTTCTGCTCCAGGAGGATGTGAAACCCCTGACCTCTGTCTGGACAGTGCTGATTGGCCCTGTGCTGATCACATGCACTCTCTCAAGAAAAAAAAAAAAAACCTCTCTAGCAATACACACCAAACTGAGCATGTGCATGTGCTATTGGCTGCAGTGGCTAATCAAATGCTTGTTATCCAGCTCCTTTAATAGAAGTTGGTCTAATGATCGGCTATTGTTGAACAGAAAGGGCTACACACAGTTTGAAATTCAGCCATTTTCTGCTGAACCGGATGAATTTCATCATGTACAGTCAGGTCCATAAATATTGGGACATCGACACAATTCTAAAATTTTTGGTTCTATACACCACCACAATGGATTTGAAATTAAACGAACAAGATGTGCTTTAACTGCAGACTGTCAGCTTTAATTTGTGGGTATTTACATCCAAATCAGGTGAACAGTGTAGGAATTACAACAGTTTGCATATGTGCCACCCACTTGTTAAGGGACCAAAAGGAATGGGACAGTTGGCTTCTCAGCTGTTCCATGGCCAGGTGTGTTTTTCCCTCATTATCCCAATTAAAATGAGCAGATAAAAGGTCCAGAGTTCATTTCAAGTGTGCTATTTGCATTTGGAATCTGTTGCTGTCAACTCTCAAGATGAGATCCAAAGAGCTGTCACTATCAGTGAAGCAAGCCATCATTAGGCTGAAAAAACAAACAAACCCATCAGAGAGATAGCAAAAACATTAGGCGTGGCCAAAACAACTGTTTGGAACATTCTTAAAAAGAAGGAACGTACCGGTGAGCTCAGTAACACCAAAAGACCCGGAAGACCACAGAAAACAACTGTGGTGGATGACCGAAGAATTCTTTCCCTGGTGAATAAAACACCCTTCACAACAGTTGGCCAGATCAAGAACACTCTCCAGGAGGTAGGTGTATGTGTGTCAAAGTCAACAATCAAGAGAAGACTTCACCAGAGTGAATACAGAGGGTTCACCACAAGATGTAAACCGTTGGTGAGCCTCAAAAACAGGAAGGCCAGATTAGAGTTTGCCAAACGACATCTAAAAAATCCTTCACAGTTCTGGAACAACATCCTATGGACAGATGAGACCAACATAAACTTGTACCAGAGTGATGGGAAGAGAAGAGTATGGAGAAGGAAAGGAACTGCTCATGATCCTAAGCATACCACCTCATCAGTGAAGCATGGTGGTGGTAGTGTCATAGCGTGGGCATGTATGGCTGCCAATGGAACTGGTTCTCTTGTATTTATTGATGATGTGACTGCTGACAAAAGCAGCAGGATGAATTCTGAAGTGTTTCGGGCAATATTATCTGCTCATATTCAGCCAAATGCTTCAGAACTCATTGGACGCCGCTTCACAGTGCAGATGGACAATGACCCAAAGCATACTGCAAAAGCAACTAAAGAGTTTTTTAAGGAAAGAAGTGGAATGTTATGCAATGGCCAAGTCAATCACCTGACCTGAATGCAATTGAGCATGCATTTCACTTGCTGAAGACAAAACTGAAGGGAAAATGCCCCAAGAACAAGCAGGAACTGAAGACAGTTGCAGTAGAGGCCTGGCAGAGCATCACCAGGGATGAAACCCAACGTCTGGTGATGTCTATGCGTTCCAGACTTCAGGCTGCAATTGACTGCAAAAGATTTGCAACCAAGTATTAAAAAGTGAAAGTTTGATTTATGATTATTATTCTGTCCCATTACTTTTGGTCCCTTAACAAGTGGGAGGCACATATGCAAACTGTTCTAATTCCTACACCGTTCACCTGATTTGGATGTAAATACCCTCAAATAAAGCTGACAGTCTGCAGTTAAAGCACACCTTGTTCGTTTCATTTCAAATCCATTGTGGTGGTGTATAGAGCCAAAAATGTTAGAATTGTGTCGATATCCCAATATTTATGGACCTGACTGTATGTACCGAGCTTTAGTCTTTGGACTGCTGTTTTTCTTTTTTTATACCACATCTCTTATCAAATTTTTTCTCTTCCTTTGGCCTTCAATACTACAATTTTTTGCAGAACTGACCTAAGATTTAAGGGCACACTGTGACGAACGCGGTGCCTGACCCCTGCCCTTCTCACCAACTCATGACAAAGGATAAGCCAATCTCACCCTGCGCTGTCACTTGTGTAACATTTCCACTCTCAGCTTGTACCCTGCACAAAGATTTTCCAGCTCGCGGGACCACAATCTATGTGCCAGCAGTTTGAGAGCTATTGTCACTGGGTTAGGTTAATTACACAATTAACCTTTCAAACACCAAATTGCCACCAGATAGCTTTGGGCCTGTCAACCCTCCACAATGTTAGCAAGAACAAATGTGAACAATAAACGTCTGTAAACACACACTGTCACCATAGACAAGTATATTCAGAAGATTATTATATACAGTAGCACTCTTCAAGAGACAAGGATTCTTTAGCTCAGTGGTTCTTAACCTGGGTTCGATCGAACCCCAGGGGTTCGGCGAGTCAGTCAGTCTTGCGGGTTCGGCGGAGGTGAAGACCCACACTCGACTCATATGATTCGTGCAGTAAATATTCATTATTATGTTTTTGTTTTTGTGTGAAAATCATGTTTTAATGGTTTTATTCTTTGTTCTTAACGGTTTTGTTCATTTTGTGCACCTATGTATAAATATATACCTAAATATATACCTATGTTTTGAATTTTAAAAATCATATTTTATTTTTCCAATTAAGAAGGGTTTGGTGAGTGCGCATATGAAACTGGTGGGGTTCAGTACCTCCAACAAGGTTAAGAACCACTGCTTTAGCTTGCATTAAAAGCTTTAGAGACAGTTTCAACACTTTTCAAAATAGGGTTTATTACTAAAAAGGTCAACATGGTGCAATTAAAATATTTACAGAAAGGGATGTTACAAATACATAAAGAGAACAATAAAGCAACAAAGAAATAAAAGAAAAGAGTTAAGAAGGCAGAATACTTGCAAAATCCTGGTTTTAGCAGAGTCTAATTGTCTGAGCAAAAACGTTGCCCTATCTCTTAAGTCCGTTAAGATGTTCCTTGATTAATGGTAAACTAGAGCTCAATCTTCACAAATCCTGTCATCCCTTTTTTCTATGATATCAAGGGGGTGTGGACAGAGACCTACTGACCAATAATCTGGTTTAAGGGATGAGTGCTAGAAGTCCCAACTACAGTTTTACACTAATATTAATAACCTCCAATACGTGCAGGTGGTATTCTAGCAACTGGCAGATTATTATTCTGAATTATATTTCGAACCCAGGGATACCATACACATTGTACCTTTTTCACCCAGGAGGAAAGAGACTGCTTTTCTCCCCTTTCCTATGTGCTAACATAGTCAAGTATGACCTTCATTTGTTCGGCATGATATTTCCTATTCAAATATATACCTAATTTTAATGTGCCCTGTTGCTGTTGAATTCTATGAATTGTACATGGAATTGTTACATGTGGAACAGACGTTTTATGGAATGCTCTGCAGTCCTAGAGCTCTAATGGCCTTACAGGTCATGTGTGACTGCTTGACTGAGTTATTATTGTTTTATGATAGGGCAGAGGAATGTGTTTTTCATGGTTCTTGGAAACAGACATCCTGCGAAGACTAATTAGCTGTTTACAGCCCTGAACGCTGGCGGCTATTTGTGTTTTAATTAAGATAAGAGGCTCTTTTGAAGTTCCAAAAAGTTACAGCTACAAATTCCAGTTTTCAGGAGGAGGGGAGGAAGATTATTGCTCATGAAAAACAAAAATGGCTGTCGCGTACAGGTTCCATGTCCTTATTGCGCACAATCGTCACACACACACCTTTAGAATTTCAATAAGATTTAAAAAAAATGTCAAAATCTAGAGCCGCACAACAAGAAAAAATCCAATTGCTCTCTTAAAAAAATGTTTAGACAAGCCAAATGAATGCCGTTCATTCCCTCCCAACTGTCTGTGAAATGGAAGGACCAAATATACTAGACAGGGGTAAGGGAATGATGCTGACACTACAGAATAAATCTTACATAAGGCCAAAGATAGTGTTAATAACTGCACAAATATTTATGCAATTTCAGGACTAAAAGGATGGCCTGCCTAGCCACTGGCTAGGGGGTCACTAGCAGTCTGCTGGCATTGGAACCCATGTTCTCTGGTGGAGTGATTCTTTGTACTCCTTAAAGGAACATGGATTACTCCAAAAAAGAAATGGTTTAAGGTAATCCCAGAAGGTCAACAGTAACCCAGAGAATGGCAAAATGTCACATTTACCCCTAACTATAGCTGTCTTCTGTGTTCTTCACCTATAGCAGCCCTCTTTCCCATAAGGCAAGCAGGCCTACCAGTACTCGTTACCCCAGGACTTTTACACAATGATATAGTGCCTGGCTACCATGCCGGGTAGGCGTGAACTGAACACAGCAAATGAGTACTTGCGGTTGGCAGACAGGCAGAGTGGTTCAATGACAGTCCAGGTACAAGGCAGTCAAGGTTCAGAATAGTTAGGTTAAATCCATAGTGAAAAGGCAAACAGAGTTCAGAGAGTAGTCGATGTCCAATCTGAGGTCATCAACTAGGGAATCCAAACTGACAGACGAACAGGGAGCTTGGAGCATGTGTTACAAACACAATATCACAAGCATTAGACTACAGGCCTGGATGGCTTAAATCAGGTTTGATCTCCACCCAAAGACTGACCACATCAATCACCTTGCAGGTGGAAAGACAGGCAGGGAGATTGTATCACAACCAAAACCAGTATGCTGGAATGAGAACAGCAGCTGTGTTGGAGCAGGAGTGCTACCCACTTCTGACACAATAAGGGAAAGTCAGTGGCCAGAAGGCCTAACTCACTAGTTGGTGGGTCCACGGCAGTTCCACAAAAGCCAATGGATGGTCCTGCTCTCTCCCACAGCACTTCCAGATTGTCTTCTCCTTGAGTGTCAGGTACAGCTGCTGACTCTTATTAAAATGCAGGTGCAACCTATACCAGATTACAGCCACAGTCTCTTACCAGATCAGCAGCAGTCTCTCACTGGATCCAACATGTGACACATGGGACCCTAGCATACAGAGACTCCTCACACAGGCAGCCCAGTACAGGTCACCCTGGCAGCAGCAGTCTCTCAGCAGTCCTGTACACTGTCTCCGGCTCACTGCAGTTCTGTTCAGATCAGCAATGGTAGTCCCTTGCAAACAGGCTCCCAGCACCTTTTTCAGGACAGGCCACTCTCAGGGACTGCACACTCCAGCAGCCCCTTTGAGTATGTGAGTTTGGTGGGTTAGGCTTTGGCTGCTGCAGGAGCCATTGACTGTCCTCTTCAGGTTCCTCTCTTTGTAGCTTCCCAGTCCAATCATGACAAGGGAGAGGAAGGAGACACCAACAGCATTAGTGGATGCCTCGAATGCCTAGGCCATGTGGCAGCTGTACCCCTTAAAGGGCCACTGGCCAGGGCTTCACTGTAAATAGTGCAGTCATTCTCCTCACCCCACACATTTTCTACCTGAGAGTTACCCTGAATTCAGACTTCTTCATTTCTCATGTTTAGAACATAAGTCTTGTCACTTCCTTTTTCATAACATCCTAGAAATGTGCATTCCTCAAAAGTCCACTAAATGTGGAGCCCACACCATTATAACTTCTTGTCTTGGCTAAATCAAAATTCTCATATCTGGTATTCCATTAACAAGACTATCACAAATGCTGCAGAAAGATGTTTTTCTCTCTCTCACCATTCCATCTTTGCTATGTTTTTGCCAGTTTCCTTATTGGTTCATTATAAATCTGATAATAATATTGAAGTACTTTTGTGATTCCATCAACACTCTTCATGCCTTTGCCCCCACCCTTATTTCTGACCTCATAAATACCATACATCAAACTCTGCAATCTTCCAATGACCTCCAGCATTACTGCTTTCTTTATTCATAACCTTATCACATCTATTGATTCAAGATTTCTGTAAAGATGCCTTCCCATCTTTTACCATGTAGCAAGGTCCTATCACCTCCAACCATTGCCATCTCTTTTACCTTTCATATCTAGTGTTCTCCCATCTCTTAGATTAAACATCCATTTGGGCTGGTCCCTTCCTTCCCACTGAGTCATATTTTAATATATTTTTTTTATTTGTAATTTACCCCTCTTATTATTGAATATACAGTGCTGTGTTAATATGTTGACACTTTATAACAAATTCATAATACTCATATTAATAACCTTATATTTTGTGTGTTGTTAGTTGCCACATTATTGAAAGGAAGACAAGGAATCTATACAGAAAATGAAAGACGTCTAGGAACAGAAATTCAGATTCGTTTTTTTCAAGATTATGTTGGTTTTCATGATATGGTAACTGATTCCCTTTTTTGTTGACTAGAAAGCAAAAACATAAAAGTTAAGATGATTTTACAATGCCATTGTTACATATTCTGGTAAATTTGTGAATATAAACTACAGTAAATGCACCTTTGGGAACTGTTATACAAACTGGAAGTTTCTGTGACAAACTGACAACATGCGTCGCTGCATTTTCAGTAGTTTATAAGCGCTAAAGCATGAAATTCCACCTTTAAGTAGCTATTTCTATTTTCTTTGCATAGTCCTTCATAGTTTACTGACAAGGATTAATTACTTAGGCTACTTTGCAAAAGTCTTTCATCAGAAGTTTTGATGGAGGTATGGGTTTTAAAGCAACGTTTTCATTAACCAAATACATTTCCAAGCAGGCATACCTAGAAAAGAAAACAGTGAACACTTTCCTTTTTTTGCTGTCAATACCATCAGAACTCCACTCATTTTACAAGAAATCCTCCTCTGAGAAACCATCACTTTTAGGAGCGACTATCTTCTTGGCCGTCCTAGATCTCACTGAATGTTCTCACTGAATCCCATGCCATTGCTGTATACTGTAGTGGCGTGAGGTCATTGGGAAGAACCCTTGAGTTCTGCAGGGGACTGAGGAGATCAACGACCCCAGATTCTCAGCGGAGGTAATCTTATGAATGGAGAAGTGTTCTGATGGTGTGAGCAGCAGGAGAGATAAGTATTTGCTCTCTTCTTTTCCAGGTATGCCTATTTTGTTATTAATCCCTTTGCACCAACAGTACACAAATATGCGGCTTCTCGGCTGGTGGGCCTTGACGCCAAGAGGTCTCATATTTGCATACTCAGATGTAAACAAACATGTGCCAAGATCGCACACCATGCATGCTCCCAGCACAGTTACTGGCTCATGACCGAAAGCTCACATCGGTGACAGCCAATCCCAGCGGTCACATGATCGGAAAGCTCAAACTGGCAAGTAGCGACCAGAAGCTTTCCGTCAGGCACCAGGGTTAAAAGATAATGACCATGGGGTTGCTTTGCTAAAACTGGAGAGTGCATAAAGAAAGATTATTATTATTATTATTATTATGTAGTGTTCCTATTGCTAGTACAATTGGTTGCTTTGGTGAAACTCAGCAAGAACCCAAAATATGATCGAGGATAGGATTTGTAGTTGACCTGATTACTTTAAACTGTCAAAGCCCTGAAGCAGCAAAGCAACCCCAAATCATAACATTTCCCTAGCCATGTTTTACAGTTGGTATGTGGTGGCTCTCCTGAAATACTGTCTTTGGTATGTGCCATCCATGGAGGGGATTTGCTAAAACTGATGTACTCAAAATCTGGTGTTGCTGTGCATAGTAACCAATCAGCTTCTAACTTCAGCTTGTTCAATTATGCTTTGAGAAAAAAAAGCTAATTGGTTTCTATGCAGAGCTGCACCGGATTTTGCACTCTCTGATCTTAGTAAATCAACCTCAATGCATCTTATAAGAAACATTCAAGGGGGTGGATTTACTAAAGGCAAACAGACTGTGCACTTTGCAAGAGCAGTTCTCTGGAACATAGTAAATGAGATGAAGCTTCGTGTCGCAAAGAATACCCAATCACAAGCAAGAAAAAAAGCAGCATTTTGTCTTGCATATGATTGGATGATGAAAGTCAGAAGAGCTTCCCCTAATTTCCAAAGCTGTAGGACAACTACACTTATGAAGTACACAGTCTATTTGCCTTTTACAAATCGATCCCAAAGTCTGTAGATGTCTGAAATAAGATTGATATCCATGCCAGAGAACACACCAGTGTTCTCTTCTGCAGATGTTAAAGCCCAATTGATCTCACAGCCAAAAATATTCAGTGCAATTATCTCCCTGCTGTTTGCACAACTATAGGTCTGACTCAGTGGAAGGTGCGATGAGAGACTGCTGCTCTCATAGAGGGCAGCGGTCCTTCTTTGCAGCCTAGCAGTAAAGAATTTTGACTGGTGCTGGGACTATTTGTTTAAGATTTGAGAAATACATTTCTATTTCATTTTTTTTTTCTTTATACTTATTTTTAAATATTTTGTTTATACTATTTAAGCAATTCTGACATGTCTGAAATTACATAATAACTGATCCGCATAATATTACATTTTAATTGTAAATACTTCCTCTAGTGCAGTGGTTCTCAACTTTCCTAATACCGCGACCCTTTAATACAGTTCCTCATGTTGTGGTGACCCCCAACCATAAAATTATTTTCGTTGCTGCTTCATAACTGTAATTTTGCAGTGGGAGGACTAGTGCCACATCATTGGTGTCAGTGGAAGGAGTAGTGCTACATCACTGATGTCAGTGGGATGAATAGTGTCCCATCGTTGGTATCAGTGGGAGGAATAGTGCCCCATCATTGGTATCAGTGGGAGGAATAGTGCCCCATCATTGGTATCAGTGGGAGGAATAGTGTCCCAGCATTGGTGTCTGTGGGAGGAATAGTGTCCCAGCATTGGTGTCTGTGGGAGGAATAGTGTCCCATCTTTGGTATCAGTGGGAGGAATAGTGCCACATCGTTGGTGTCAGTGGGAGGAATAGTGCCACATCACTGATGTCAGTGGGAGGAATAGTGTCCCATCGTTGGTTTCAGTGGGAGGAATAGTGCCCCGTCATTGGTGTCAGTGTGGGAGGAATAGTGCCCCATCATTGATGTCAGTGTGTGTGTGGGCGGGGGAATAGTGCCCCATCATTGGTGTCAGTGGGAGGAGTAGTGCCACATCACTGATGTCAGTGGGAGGAATAGTGTCCCAGCATTGATGTCTGTGGGAGCAATAGTGCGCCATCATTGGTGTCTGTGGGAGGAATAGTGTCCCATCTTTGGTATCAGTGGGAGGAATAGTGCCCCATCATTGGTGTCTGTGGGAGGAATAGTGTCCCATCATTGGTGTCTGTGGGAGGAATAGTGCCCCATCATTGGTGTCTGTGGGAGGAATAGTGTCCCATCATTGGTGTCTGTGGGAGGAATAGTGTCCCATCATTGGTGTCTGTGGGAGAAATAGTGTCCCATCATTGGTGTCTGTGGGAGAAATAGTGTCCCATCTTTGGTATCAGTGGGAGGAATAGTGCCACATCATTGGTGTCAGTGGGAGGAATAGTGCCCCTTCATTGGTGTCTGTGGGAGGAATAGTGTCCCATCATTGGTGTCAGTGGGGGGAGGAATAGTGCCCCATAGTTGGTGTCAGTGTGTGGGGAGGAATAGTGCCCCATCGTTGGTGTCTGTGGGAGGAATAGTGTCCCATCATTGGTGTCTGTGGGAGGAATAGTGTCCCATCATTGGTGTCTGTGGGAGGAGTAGTGTGCCACATCACTGATGTCAGTGGGAGGAATAGTGTCCCAGCATTGATGTCTGTGGGAGCAATAGTGCCCCATCATTGGTGTCTGTGGGAGGAATAGTGTCCCATCTTTGGTATCAGTGGGAGGAATAGTGCCACATCATTGGTGTCAGTGGGAGGAATAGTGCCCCTTCATTGGTATCAGTGGGAGGAATAGTGCCCCATCATTGGTGTCAGTGGGGGGAGGAATAGTGCCCCATCGTTGGTGTCAGTGGGGGGAGGAATAGTGCCTCATCGTTGGTGTATGTGTGGGAGAAATAGTGCCCCATCATTGGTATTAGTGACACCAATGATGGGGCACTATTCCTCCCACTGACACCAATGATACTTACCTTGCTGACCCCTGCTCCAGCCTGGGCTCGCTCCCTCCCTCTCCCATCTACAGCCAGCATACCTGGCTGCAGCAGAAAATTTGCACGGTACAGACACTTACCGATCAGCTGTCTTCCTTCTCTGGCCGCTCTCCTCTTCACTCGCTCCGGCAGCTCCCTTACTCAGTCTTCTTTGATCTACGTGCGCTGCCGCTCGGCTCCTCCTCTCCAAGCTCCACCTCCTCGCCGGTGATTGGCCGCCTGTGTGCCTCTCCTGAGCTACAGTTCCGGTGGCCAATCACCGGCGAGGAGGCGGAGCTGTTGAGTGATCCCGGAGGTGTGGCCAGGTGACAGGGGCAGCATGTCATCCCTCCCACACATCGCCTGAGACGGATAGAGGAGCGGTGTCTCGGTTCCTAAGACCATCGGAAATATGTGTTTTCCGATGGTCTTAGGCGACCCCTGTGAAATGGTCGTTCGACCCCCAAAGGGGTCGCGACCCACAGGTTGAGAACTGCTGCTCTAGTGGCTATCTGCATATATGAAGAAATGTATTTAGTAGTCCATGCCTAAAGTACTGGAGCACTCAGAATCTGGTGCAGCTGTGCATGGTAGCCAATCAGCTTCTAACTTCAGCTTGTTTCAATTAAAAATAAAACCTGAAAACTGATTGGTTTCTATGCAGAGCTACACCAGATTTTGCACACTCCAGTTTTAGTAAATAGCCCCCATGGCATTTTAAATGTCTTTATAGTGACAACCCTCATTTAAAAGTGGCAGCTTTCTGTAGCCTGACATAGAGTACAACTGATGTCAATGCCAACATTCAGAACTGTGTCCATACTATGGACATTTAACTATTTTCATATCCTTAACAAGCAGCAAATGGACTTTAACCATATGTTTAACCAAAACCAATGGGACTTTAATGATGCCTTTAATTAGCAAAAACAACAAACCATTAAAATACGTATACTCAGGGCTGCTGTTAGAAACCATGAGGCCCCATACAGCTAACCTGACAGCCCCCCCCCCCACCCCACAAAAACAGAGTTTTACTATGTTTCAGTTATGAATGAACACAATGAGTCATCTGTACTCATTGTGTTAATTCAGGAAAGGAAGGGGCTGGTAAATGTGACATATTTACTGGACCCTTCCCCCACTCTCCATCCTGAAGGATCCTATTGTGTGCTTGCAGCTGCTGGTGGGAAGGAGAGGAGGGAAGCTGGCAGCACTGTGGGGGTACACAGGGGGGCCTGGGCAGCAGGGGGAAACATATGGTGCACAGGGAGGGTTTTGGGTGTGGGGGGCTATTACTGGAATCAGCGCAGATCTAACTGCACTCCTATGATCCATAGGAGAAGTACAGCCAAAAAAGCTTTGGTTATACTTCTCTTTTAAGTCACATTTATGAAATATTTATATACACAAAACTGGAGGCATAATCTTCCCATGCATGCAAAAAATGCTGAGGGACATTGGAGGAATGGGAATGGGAATTAGAAGCAAATGCTTCTGAAGTTGTTTTTTATCTCTGTTTCTGAAGCCTGCCCTTAGGTTCCCCAAACAGTTCATATTTTGTAAAGATCTACCCAAGATGCTTCTACTTATTACTCATATGTGAGATTACCTTTAAACCATTAGTCATTGTTAGGACTTCAGGACAGGATTTTGGATACACTGCCTCACATATTAACCCGTTTCCTACACTAAAATATGTATTTTCTAACCCTAAGATTTACACCAATTATTTCTCTGTTTTGCTCCAATAATGGGATGGTTTTACCAACACAAAGCTTTCAAAATGGTTGCCTTACTATCTGTTGTAACCTCAAGGTATGGAGTGACCCTTTGTGCATCTAAAAACATGCATGAGCATGTGCATGAAAAATAAAACATGATGACTGTTCTTAATTGGCCTGCTGTGTATGTTAGAGCAGCCATACAAAGGCTAGGTTCACACTTAAGTGGGTGTGGGACTATGTGTAAATCAAACACTTTCCCGCACAAGCACCAAAAATGCACTGCTGTTTGCAGATGCACAGGGATGCCATTAATTCCTAATGGCTTCCCCACACATTGGAATCTGCAGCGCTTTTACCCATGCTGGAAAGCACATAGCACTATGTGGTTTCCCTGTGGCTGTGATTTTAGAAGGGTGCAGAGACCTTTTTCCTACATTTCCCTCAGGTACAGCAGTACATTCAAATAAATGGGCTGCTGTGTCCACGCAAAAGCACCCTCATGGAAACCACAGTAGTGTGAACCTTGTCTAAATGAGAAGCTTGTGAAACAAGGCCATGTCTGCTCAGTAATAGAAATGGTTTTACAAGTACATCAAGTATTTTTTTCCAATAAAGTATCTTGAAATTTCTGATACCATGGAGTTATTTTTGTATTACATACAGGTATGTGTTTAGGGGGATGATGGGCTGTTATAAATGTGACTGCTCTTAGCATAAATGGCACTTTTATCTTTTTATCAGTTGGTTTTCCAATGTCATCAATGAGAGCCTTTTGTTCTATCTGGAGCTGCAGCCAGGCATGAATGGAGACCAGCTGAAGAATGTCAGGAATGCAGCACTTATCACATGGTTCATCATGGTAAGCCAGGCATGACTTCAATAAGCTTGGATATTATTATTAATGACTAAGTGCCAGATACCATGCTTCCAGTTATTTTAAGTGTTCTGCATGCTTTTGTCCAGGTTCTTACCATTGTAAACTGAGAACTAAAACAAACTATATACAGCATATATAGAGCAAAAGCCAAATGTGTACTACATGCTAAGTTATTACTATTATTAATTATAATAACATCAGATAAATGATAAAATAATAAATCATTAAACTAATATTGGAATAAGAAAATACTATCAATGTATCCATTTAGGTTATATGTGACACCAGAGTAATCCATATTCACCTTGTAAACACAGAAGTCTAAGTAGACATTGACTAACCAATCCATACACTGAAGGATGAGGTGACCTGACCCTCCATGTTTACGCTTTTGCACACGTTTAAAAAATAATTTTAGGCCTAAAGATTACATTATAACCCCCAAAACATTATATATTTTCTGAAGGCAGTCACCCAATAGAAAAAAATGTTGCTAGTTCCAATGCTTTATGAAACATGATATTACCGAAAAGATTTAGTAAATGCACAAGTTCAGTAAAAAACACACTAAAGTTAGTTTTGGGGCACTCAAATGCAATTAATTACCCAATTTTTGATGAAACATAAAAGATGAGGTTGCACCTAGTATATACGCAACACATCAAACCTTAAATTTGTGTGCGCCCGTGAAATAACGACAAACTTCAGTAACATATTTCTTTTATAGGAGACACTTTAAAAGCCCGATATAGGTCATCAGTTTAGCATTATGGAGGAGGTATGGTGCTAGAATTATCTCTCTCACGCCGGCGTGCATGGCGATAAGTAACATGTGTATCGCAACAGACATTTTTATATGTAGGTGCCCATGATGAGTGTGTTTACGTTTGTACATGCTTATATGTGGGTGGGGGTCTCAAATTTATTTTTAGGAGATTTTATGCGCTTGGGTTTAACTTAAATTTTTTAAATTTAGATTTTTTTTTTATTTTAAAGGACGATGAGTTTCGGGGCGTGTCCTCTTTGTCAAATCCTTCTGAACTTGACAATGCGTTTTGAGGTGCATCCTCTTTGTCAAGTCTTCCTGAACCTGACAATACATTTTGAGGCATGGCCTCTTTATCAAGTCCTTCTGGACTTGACAAAGAGGCCACCCTTCTAAATGAATCATCCTGGAGACTCTGAAACACTTCCTTCTATCCCAGCCTCTTTCCAGAGAGTTGGCGGTATGTCTCTTTCGATGACACAGGTTCAGGTCACACGACTTATGGTGATTCAATTCCGGTGATGTGGCCCCAGTTTGCACACCAGGCCTAACATCAGGTTATCTGGAAACACCAGACCTGTATGATCCTTGGCTATTGGAGTGGCCACCTCGCAAGGGGTGGCCAATTTCGATCCATGTATGGCCGGCTTAAAAGTGGATTTCCTCTTACTTGGAGAAAGTTCTACTCACTTCTGTGTCTCGAACAGTAAGTAAAGAGCAATCACCCCATCTGAATACAGACTAAAAATACTTGACAGGGGTTTTAATCATTCCCTACTACAGAATAAAAAGAAAGTTACAACTTGCCCTACTTGGTACACTGATGGTGTAGTGCTTAACATTTTTACCACATACAGATCTTGCAGCCTTTCTTCAAAACATTATTGTGATAAACCATAGTCTGACCAAACAACAGATATAAAGAGAGGGGACACACTGACCTAAGTACAGGGATAATTAATGAACCTTTAATGATAAACAAACAGTTTAGCTTACAAGAGTTGATAGGGAGTTCCTGCATCAGTGAAAGACAGAAACAACCAGCCCCCTGGCGCCAGCTTTGGAACAAGGTGATCTTTAGAAGTCTGTCCTGGATCTTGGCTAATAGATGAGAAAGGTAGCACGGTGGGACCTGCCAATACCTGGAATGTAGCAGGATGCAGTGGCATCTTCGCAGTTTTGGACGGGGAGACTTTTACAGTAATATGTTTACACGTTTTACTAAGCAATGCATTTTTGAGGGACCTCCTTCTTTTATCAAGCCTACCACTCCCTACTATATTCAACACTGCAGAAAACAGTTCTGGCTTTAATATGCTTTAAAGTGTATTTCCAGTCTTGCGACGGTGTTTTGTTATTTGTTTCCATTTACACAGCATACCTAAAATAATTCAAATATTTCTTAACTGTTTCTTTAGAGTGGAATTATACTGCACACTGGTATGCAAGCTATTCTGCTAAATACCTTTTCTCATCAGCAGTATATAGCAGTCTTTTGACTTCTATCAGTGTCCAGCGGAGCACTGGCTAAAGCTTGTAGGAGGAGTTTTCATTCTCCTCTGACTGTGCTATGAGGCTGCATAACCCCTGACCCTCTGTCTAGACAGTGCTGATTGGCCCTATGCTGACCACATGCACCCTCCCAAAGAAAAAAAAAACTCTCTTGCAATATACACCAAACTGAGCATGTGCAGAGTGACTTCAAGAGCTCTGTGCTATCAGCTGGATGGATTGGGGACAACAGAGAAATGGGAGGATCAGAGAAGACAGGATCAAACAGCCTTTTCACACAATGCAGAGGATTAAACCCTTGGGTTCCACAGGGAGGGAGTATAACAAGCATGCTTTACTGCATATACAGACTGATTTTATTGTTGTGGGTTTAGTAACATTTTAAATAGGGAGAACTTAGGTAGGTAGTTTATAGTAGGCAAGTAAAAAACCCTTCAAAATGTAAACAGCATTTTAAAATAAAATGTTTTCAGTTAAGCTTTGTGAATGGGAACACAACAAATATAAAGTAGTTGTTATCCTAATTATTATTATTATTATACAGGATTTATATAATGCCAACAGTTTGCTCAGCGCTTTAAATTAGGCTGCAAAAGTCAAAATACACTTCAAGTTCACAACACAAACGTTTTCCCAACAAATTAAAGTACAAGAGAGCGCTTCCTCTCTCTCTTCTGACCACATAGAATACATTGTTGGAATCCTATTTAAAGTAGTGTTCCACCCACAAAAGGAAGTTCCACTGGCCTCCTCCTCTGCTTCTAGTAAGGATCTGGCACTTTTGGGGAGCAGGTACCCAATTTTCACAGGTACTCACTCCGACTTCCACTCCAACTGCCTAGGCAATTTGAAGCAGAAGCTCCCCCCCCTACCCACAGTCTTCTAGGACATGTGACAAGTCCCAGAAGACTGCAGGACCATTCACAGTGCGCAGTGCTGCTCGCGCATGTGCAGTGGGCACCCAGCTGTGATGCTGCAAGCTGCCCATAGCAAACATCCCGGTGCTAGGGAGAGAGAGGACACAAACTGAAAACCTCTGGGCCAAGCACAGCGCTGGATCATGGGACAGGTGAGTGGCTGTTTATTAAAAGTCAGAAGCTACAGTTTTTGTAGCTGCTGACTTTTAATTTTTACAAACATGACCAGAGCTCCATTTTTATTCCCTAACTTTGTTTTCTTAGAAGTGACTGCTTTCCATATGCACTGCAAATTGCAATCTGCAAAGCTTATTGTATTATCAGCTCCCAGTATACAGTATGCTATGTCTTTGTGCAATCTTAAACTTATACATTTTCTATATTTTTTCTATTAAGGGCATACTGAATCCAATGCAGGGATTCCTCTTTACTTTGGCGTTGTATGGATGGACAGGATGGAACATTGATTTCAGGCTAAAGCACAAGGAAATCTCATTTGAACATTTGACCAGTACATCTGTGGCTGAAAACAATGGCCGAATCGGTTCTTTCTTGAACTACCCTGGTTACATCCAGGACCCCACCAAAGCTGAGATGGGGAACAGCCAGCAAACGGATGAGGCACTGAGCATGCTTTCTGAAGGTAATGGGAGTATAGCTGAGAGGATAACCAGGCACTCCCCTATTTACCAAGGCTGGTAGTTCCTAATTATGCTGCTCTGTCTGTCCAACCATTCCTTATTATATCAGGGCCTCTATAGAAGGGTTTATGTCTCATTGTACAGAACTGCTGTGAATTGATAACATATTTTTCAGAGAATAAGCTATGGAAATGATAACAGTGTTATTGATTATATGAACGTGACTACAGAGTATGTTTAATTGCATGTTGATATAATTCCAGGTTACATTTACAATTAGCTATTATTGGTCTGAACATTAAACCGCTTCTACAAATCCATCTGGCCATATTAAATGTGTGTTTAACTTTAAATTACAAATCCATTTGACCATATTAAATTAACTTTCAGCTGTTATCCTCCATCACAGCCTATCACTCTCTGCTCATTTCCTTATACTTTGGATGGGTTGCGAGGGGTTTTACCTCATGATCAGTTCACCTAACATGGGAATTTGTGATTTTGTTAGGTGCTGAGTTAAAGTAAAAGAGAATTACTACAACTATGTTAATACAAAAAAAAAAAATTATTTATATAGGCCTCTGTGTTTAACATTTTTTACTTTGTCTGTGTCTGACAGACAGTAAAAAAGGAGGTAAATAAAATCTTTTCATTAATGGGATCAAGGAAAGGGGACATTCGCAGCTGCTGCAGAAAGAGCAGAAATATAAAATTGTGCATAGCAGTTTAATCAATAAACATTCCCCATGGTAGTCTACATGTTCTAAAGGTTACCCCTTAAATGGCAGACTGCCACATGAAATTACTATTGGAAGGGTATTTCTGGTCATAAAAACTGCAACACCATACAGTCATAGTCTCTTTAGTTGGAATGACTTCGCTATGTCTCTCTGGTAGTTCATCCTGGTCTGCTACTGTGATGTTTAAAATGTATGTACCCTGTGTATCCCTAACAGCCTACATAGACACTGTGGACAAAATCAACTCTACTTCTTTGCCCCACCATTTCCACCGTCATTCATAAAAGTCTCTATAGACCATCTCCTATCCTGTTGTCCTCTGCTAATGTAAATCTAGAAACATTGCAGTTTGTTAAAATAATTTGATAGTTTCTGGTAGGCATGCACATATATATATATATCAGGCATAACTTAACTACCACCGACCTAATTTTTACTAGGTCCCCCTTTTGCTGCCCCAAAACAGCAACCAAAGCAGCAACCAAAAGCAGCACTGACCTGTTGAGGCATGGACGCTACTTGACCTCTGAAGGTATGCTGTGGTATCTGACACCAAACCTGCAGTAGCAGATCCTTTATTCCTGTAAGTTGCAGTGTGGGGTCTCCATGGATCGGGCTTGTTTTGTTTTGACTCATTGTGGTGTTCCTCAAACCATTCTTGAACCATTTGTACAGTGTTGCAGGGGCATTATCCTGCTAAAAATGCCACTACTATCAGAGAATACTTTTTTCATGAAGGTCAGCAACAATGTTTAGGTAGATGGTAAGTGTCATCCACATGAATGGTAGGACCCAAGGTTTCCCAGCACAACATTGTCCAAAGTATCATACTGCCTCTGCCGACTTGCCCTCTTCCCATCATACATCCTGGCTTCATTTCTTCCCCAGGTAAGCAGCACACATGCACCTGACCATCTGCATGATATAAAAGAAATCATGATTCATCAGACTAGGCCACCTTCTTTTGCTCCTTGGTCCAGTTCTGATGTTGCGCATAGTAGGCACTTTTGGCTGTGGACACTGGTCAGCACGGGCACCCTGAACAGTCTGTGGCTACCAGCCCCATACACATCAAACTGAGATGCCCATGTTTCCAGCTTTCAACACATCAACTTCAGGGACAACATGTTTACTTGCTTCCTAATATATCCCACCGACTTCAAATAGCATGATAACGAGATATTCAATGTTACGCACTTAACCTGTCATTGGTCTTGAAGTTATGACTGATCACTGTTCATATATATATATATATATATATATATATATATATATATATACACATACAATTGTGTTCAAAATAATAGCAGTCAGACATCACTAACCTGATCAATCACTGTTTTTGGTAGAAATGATATTTCTACATGGCAAATAATTTACTAGCAGGTGTAGAGTAATAGAAATCCAACAGACCCAACTGTCATGACATGCATGCTGCTGATTCCGTGTAATTGAATCACTAATTGAAAGGGGCATGTTCAAAATAATAGCAGTGTGGAGTTCTATTAGTGAGGTCATTCATTCTTTGAAAAACAGGTGGCAATTATTGCCCTTATTTAAGGAAGGAAGGAAGGCAGCAAATGTTGTACATGCTGGTTACAGTGCATTTCTCTCTGAAATTCTGAGGAAAATGGGTCTTTCCAGACATTGTTCAGAAGAACAGCATACCTTGATTAAAAAGTTGCTTGGAGAGGGGAAAACATATAAAGAAGTGCAGAAAATGATAGGCTGCTCAGCTAAAATGATCACAAATGCTTTAAAATGGCAACCAAAACCTGAAAGACGTGGAAGAAAGCTAAAAACTACCATTCAAATGGATAGAAGAATAGCCAAAATGGCAAGGACTCAGCCAACAATCAGCTCCAGGAAGATCAAAGAAGGTCTAAAGTTACCTGTGAGTACTGTTACAATTAGAAGATGCCTATGTGAAGCCAAGCTATCTGCAAGAAGCCCCCGCAAAGCCCCACGGTTGAAAAAAAGACATGTGCTGAAGAGGTTACAATTTGCCAAAGAGCACATTGATTGGCCTAAAGAGAAATGGCGCAACATTTTGTGGACTGATCAAAGTAAGATTGTTCTTTTTGGGTCTAGTGGCCGGAGACAGTTTGTCAGACGACCCCCAAACACTGAATTCAAGCCACAGTACACTGCGAAGACAGTGAAGCATGGTTGCGCAAGCATCATGATATGGGGATGTTTCTCATACTATGGTGTTGGGCCTATTTATTGCATACCAGGGATCATGGATCAGTTTGAATACATCAGAATACTTGAAGAGGTCATGCTGCCTTATGCTGAAGAGGAAATGCCCTTGAAATGGGTGTTCCAACAAGACAATGACCCCAAACAAAACGTGCAACATCTTGGTTCCAGACCAACAAGATTGACGTTATGGAGTGACCAGCCCAATCCCCGGATCTTAATCCAATAGAAAACTTGTGGGGTGACATAAAAAATGCAGTTTCTGAGGCAAAACCAAGAAATAGAGAAGAACTGTGGAATGTAGTCCAATCATCCTGGGCTGGAATACCTGTTCACAGGTGCCAGAAGTTGGTTGACTCCATGCAACACAGATGTACAACAGTTCTCAGAAACAGTGGTTTTTTGAACAGTCTAATATTCACTTTTCTTAAATTTTTTTTAGAGGAACAACACAAATTTGATATATTGTTCTTCATGTTTTTATTTGGAATAGAATGTGTAGTGTTCCCAATGCATTTGTGTTTATGGAAATAAAAGCTATTATATGGATTTTGAGCTTTAGTCACTCTTTTCAACACACTGCTATTATTTTGAACACAACTGTATATATATATATATATATATATATATATATATATATTAGAACATAAACTAAAAACATTTTTATATCTCCAAGGTAACAAATAGGGTAGCGATAGTGATCTGTGCCTAAGTTAGCTTAAGTTAAATACAGTAAGTGAGAATGACAGGAGAGTAGAAGTACAGAGAAAGTAAGGATGCAAGCCTCATAGCTGAATAATAATATGTAGAAGAGAGAAGGTGCAATGCACCCCTAATACATGCAGAATAATAGTAGATACTAAGAATATCACTGAATATGAAACAGAAGCATAAAGTGCAGTATAGAGAAAGATTCATGTACTTATATTGTTTTAACTTGTGAAGTTCAGTGCGCTTTTATTAAATATTTTCATCCTTTTTCACCTTTATCAAAAGTTAATCAAACTTGTGTCTTTGACAGGTTGAAATATTTTTTTTTTGGAAAATAATGTCTGTTCTTCTTGTATGCATTGTGAAAAAGAATGTCTTTTTTCTGAAAAGTAGCTGTGAGGCATTATAATAGTAGCTTAAAAGTATATGTATTTCAAAATGCTAAATTACAACTTTTCAAAAACATAAGAGGGATTATTTTTACAACCTGAAGTCATCAAAATAAAAGTCTTTTTACCGTTATATTGATGTTTCTCTTTTATTCAATGCATATTTAATGGAAAACTTGTAAATATTTAACTTTACTCAGAATCCAGCATAGGTAGAGTCTCCTTCACTCAGGTGTGCAATGATCATGCCTGCTGTAGTGAAGGATCTGAACACAATATAAATCATACAAAACTGGTGTCTAAAACAAACGGAAATCAGTTTTAAGGGAATTTGTTTTAATTCTGATATGATTTGAAAAGATTTCATGGAGTCAACAAAGTGACGGTATAGGGGATTACCTGGAATCCTCCAAATTGGCTGCGTAAAGAATGTATAGACATTTTACCTGAATGCATAAACGTACTATTTTATAGCAAGTATTCCATTTACTGTAGTGACTACTTGCTTAAGTATCCGAATTCCCTAATGGATATAGTCAATGAATCTGAAAAAAAAAAATAACAAATACATTTATTTAATTTGGATTCATTGTGAATAGCTGGTTGCTAAAAAGTGGGCGGTCGCCATGTCCTTAACAACCATGACTTATCTGCTGTCAGCAGAATTCCTTGCTGTTAGCAGAATGTATACAAAGTGCCGGAATTAAAAAACTTAAAAAACAGCCCTTCGGGTCTGGTATGGATATCAAGGTGAAACCCACGTC